GAGGAGAGGAGAGAAGAAAGGTGCTAGGGGAAGCAGGAGGAGGGAAGAGAGACAGCAGGGTAGGGAGAGGAGGGAAAATAGATACAAGAGAGGAGAGGAGAGAAGAAAGGTGCGAGGGGAAGCAGGAGGAGGGAAGAGAGACAGCAGGGTAGGGAGAGGAGGGAAAATAGATACAAGGGGAGGGGAGGAGGGAAAATAGATACAAGGGGAGGGGAGGAGAGAAGAAAGGTGCGAGGGGAAGAGGAGAGGAGAGAAGAAAGGTACGAGGGAGGAGAAGAGGAGGAAAGAAGAAAGCTGCAAGGTAAAGAGGCAAACAAACATGTCAACGCATAGCATAATCGTCATGGTCGGGTTACAGCCAATCGGAAATCATTTGCGGGCGGCGCCACCGGTGCCCTTCCTGCTGCTAACATAACTATAGTGGTGCAGCATGAGAGAAGACTAACCCACGTGCGCGCGTTTCTGTGTTCACCCGCAAGGTGGCGCCGCGCGCGACACGCTCAGTCCCTCCGCGCAGTCGCTCACCTTCCGTCGGCTCGAGCAGCTTCTCACCTCGCAGCCACCAGACGACGATGACGACGACGACGTCGCCGACGACGACGTCGACGACAACCACGCGGCGGCGACGACGAACGGATACAGCGAGAGAGCGACGTCGCCGACGACGACGGCGGCGGCGGCGGCGGCGGCGCGGGGAGCCACCGTCGACGACGACGGTGGCGGCTCCTGGCGACGAGGTCGGGTAACGCGGGTCGCGGCCGAAGACGCGCCTGCCCTCTGCCGGGGCCGCGCGCATCCTCCTGACATGTGTGGCGTGGGTGGGACACCCCCCTACCCCCGGGGGGAGGGGGCGTGAATGAATGCGGGGGTAGGGGAAGGGCTGTGTGTACGTGTGTACTAATATGACTAACCCCCACGCCGCACCTGCTGCTAGGACGCGGGCTGTGCTTGGGAGAGGGCAGGCGCGCTGCTGCCATGGCTGAAAGCTGTCTGTGGTTTGTGTGTGTGTGCGTGTGCGTGTGCGTGTGCGTGTGCGTGTGCGTGTGCGTGTGCGTGTGCGTGTGCGTGTGCCTGTGCGTGTGCCTGTGCGTGTGCGTGTGCGTGTGCGTGTGCGTGTGCGTGTGCATGCGTGCATGTGTGCGCGTGCATGTGCGTGCGCGTAACAGTAAGAGCGTAATTAACATGCATAATTAACATGCATAATTAACAGACTAATTCGCACGTCTCGCATGTAAGACTGCCTACTAAAACACAAGGCGCGCACGATGTAGCAGTTAAAGGTTGAGGTAGAGGTAGAGGCTGCCACGGTCTTCCACCGTGAGAGATAGAGCACAGCAAGTAGGAAGGGGTGGGACAGATAGCTAGAGAGAGAGGTGGAGCAGAAAGGGGGAAATAGAGAGAGGAGGAGGGTGACCAAAATCACAGCTTTCCAAAATCTTTAATCAACATCTGGGTGGTCATCCAATCAGCCCGCTGACGCCCGGTGACGTCACCGGGATATCGTGCGGCGCGCGCCGGCGCCCCCTGGCGGTAGCCGCGGGACTGACGCGTTCATGCACTGTGTTGCAGGCGCCCCGGCAAGCATCACTCATAAGATCGCGGCTCCGACGACCGACTACGCCGCGATGGAGAAACGCGCCGATATGGAGGCGAAGGCCGCGGCCGGCGCGCCCGTCTGCATCGGCTGCGGTCGCCAGGTCATGTAAGTGTTGCCATCTGTTGGCGTGTTTTCATACTTTTCGTCGTTTTTCTTGTCATTTTTTTGGTTTTTGTTTTTTCCCGCAGTATTTGGAATCGGCTTTCTTGCAGTGTGTCGTGTAGTTGTTGCGATGTGTTTTTTTAAAAAGTTTTTGATTGTTTACATATAACTCAACAAACAGCGAAATATGTGCGTGAAAAAATCGATCATAAGTAAGTAAATATCAGCTGTAAGTTCATTGACAAATTGCCTGACAGGTAATTGTTCAATGAATTCATCGGGCATACTCAGGATAGTAATTTTCTCCCCCAATAGAGGGAGTTGCATGCCCGGGCTGAGCTGAAGGCACGGGCTTCACTCGGGTTGTTTAGTTTGATCTCCACTAGAGGGAGCAGAAGGTCGGAGATATTCCGGAATGCTGGATCAAGTTGCCGCCGCCCGAAATAGCGCGTCTGCACACGTAACGGCCTTACTGCTGCATATACAGCATCCACCATATCCTGTGAAGCTGCTGGCTTCATCTATGACTGATGCTGCTGCTGCTGCTGCTGCTGCTGCTGCTGGTGGTGGTGCTGCTGCTGCTGGTGGTGGTGCTGGTGGTGGTGCTGCGTGGTGGTGGTGGTGGTGGTGCTGGTGCTGCTGCTGCTGCTGCTGCTGCTGCTG